TGTTTCGAGCAGCCGGATCCAATATTCCAACCCACGCAATCATCCACATACTACGCATTCGACTGTGCCGAAGACCCCTGCAAGTATTTCAGCCCCAGAATGCGCCGGGCCTTGTAAATACTTCGTCGCGTATATGGATAGGTCATTCTCACTTCAATGGGTAGCTTTGCATCTGAAACCTTTATTTATTTTTGAAAAGACAAAAAAAAATGTTCTACTTGGAAAAAATGCCAGCACTAATAATAAACTTAGTTCTAGTATTATCACAAATGACAATGGACGAGCTAGTATTAAAAATGTATGGTTTGGATGTGGCTATGAAAACAACGCGTCCTTTGAGAAAACCGGATCGGCTAGTAGGCCTCCGTGGGAGACCCGCCTCCCTCCCTCGTTAGTCAATTAGGTGGATCATTTGGCAACAAATTCTCATGTTGCCCTCTCCGAGAGCACATTTTTTATGGGGCAGAATCCCTCTGTCTCTAAACTTAATCCCAAATCTACTCCAATAAAGGGCGTGCCAAATGATATGACTTTTCATATACTGGATCTTGTGGACATGACTGTAGGGGACAAGCGCCTCGGCATCCCACCGGGAACGTTCGATCCTTCGGACCGGACCCGTTGAAGCGTCTCATCATAGATTCCGGCACCGTTTACTCTTCCTTGCCAACAGTGGCTTACAACGTGGTGAAATCTAGTTTAGAAGAATCTATTCATCATCTTGGAGAGAGTGAGGACCCTAACAAACTACTTGATCTTTGCTACACTGTGACAGATGAGGAGGATTTTGCTCAGATTCCAAGTGTTACATTTCACTTTGCTGAAAATGCAGACTGGGTCGCTAAGCCAGAAGCTTTATTTGACGCTGTGGATGATGAATATACGGTGTATTGTCTAGGGATGTTGTCTACCAGAGGAACTTCCACACCAATTTTCGGTGGTTTGTTTCAACGTGACATGTTCGTGGAGTATGACCTTCAGCAACAAAACCTCTTCTTCGCTCCCACCAACTGTGTGGGAATGTAGGATTTCTTAATTGGGTTTATTACAAAACTTGGCAAATTATTGGGCCAATTCAATTTATGGCTTGCATTTCTTTACTTTGCCATAAATTTAAAGATTTGAATCTCTTTTTTTTTTTTTCTAGTGAAAATGTTAAGTTCATGGTCTTTGTATAAGGCTGAGGCCCTAAATAATCAAAGTAAGGCACGCTATCAAATTGTGTCCGAAGATTTTGTTTTAGCATTGTAAATCTTTGTGATGGCTTGAAAATTTATTTCCATATCTCATTATGAACTTTAAAGCTCCATAAACAATTGTATATCTTAAAATAATAGGTAGAATTAGAAGAAGAGTAACCTAAAGAATAATTTATTTTTTTCTCTTAAAACTCATAGGGTACTTATAAAGAGCAAGATAGAGAGATTCAATGATACTACAGATTTCGGTAGCTAGGAATTCAATGCGAGATTCAAATTTTTTAGGCATTTTGTTGTTATTTTATGCATAGAACAGTCTGTTTAATTTCACAATTTATTTTTTATTTTTGTATTTTATTGATGTATACAACACAACATTTTGGATGGACCACTATTTAACATATTTGGGTCCTTGCATTTTCTTTTAATTAGCTATAATGCTATACTGAGGGCGTTTTTTGTTTTTCTCTTTGAAAAATAATCATATACTTTTGGTTCACAATTCTTGTTATTTGCTAATTAGTTATCGTGTTTGGTATTGTTGCTGTTGTTTTATTTTGTGCTCCCAATAAATGTCTTGTGATGTGCCAATAGAGTAAGCATTGTTGCTGGATTTATTGAAAGTTTCAACAAAAATGGTTAAGCAATGCTCTAATAATACTAGTAAGGCTATAAAACTATTGTTTAATGACTTTAGTATATCTATACAATAAGTGCAAATCATAATCTTATATTATGTCATCTTTAGATATCCGAGTTTTTCAGCCTTTTTGAACCAAATCCAAAATATTCACGATTCTATAGGTTACCTTGTTTTTTGGCGATCCGTATTTTTTACTCGATTTTTTCATTTAATTATTTGAAACAAAACCGATTTGTTACTGATATTTTGGTCGACGGACATTTTATTATTTTCTGACTTGCTAACTGTGGTTCCACCTCTATCTTATTGCAAAAGATAACTTCCTCCTAATAATTTCCTACTAAAAGCCAAAAATGATAACTCACTATACTAATCTATTTTAGAGTCTTTCCAAAATCTATCTAAAATAAATATTTATGTTCCTAAAAATTTTCTTACTAAAAGGAAACCCCTTTTCCTACCCACGTTAATCTTGGGAAGTAAACTCTAAAATGTGATCTAAAGACTTGTTCCAAGATTTACTACAATATGCTCTAAAAAATCAACCAATTATTAAATCTAGATCGATTTTATCAAACTAAAGATTATCTTGTCCAAAAAAAATAAACGGACTCTATGAATTTGAATAGGTTGTAGAAGTTCCCCTTAATCATGAAAACCGTTAAACATTCAATTCACATAATATTTGGTTGTCTGGAAACATTCAAAATAAATTGGGTATTTATAATTCTAAGTTTTTGAAATTTTATAAACTCATCTAATGCATGGGCTCTGAAACTATTGGTATTTTGAAATGAAATCAAGCAATCTAGCATGGAAATTAGTATTAGTAAATTAACATGTAAATTAATTTCATTTAATGGATGGACATCCAATGAAAAAGTCATAAGACATTACATTGAGTAGAGAGAGAAAGAGGATGATTATATAGTACAATTAAAAAGAGAAAGAAAGTTGGTTGAAGTGAGTGAGAGAGAGAGATTGGGGATTCCATGTAATGGATTAGAATGTTTACCTATTATAAAACTTGTAAGATTTTAAAATCTCATTTCTTTTTTATTGTAAATTTGATTTATTGCAAATTGTTTATTCACTTGAATATCATATACTTTAAATTCACTTATGATTTTTTTTCCTAAATCCAAAATTTATAAAAAGTTATTAAATATTAATTTTCAAACTATCGATACGTGCATACCATAATTTCATGATTGCATTATTTAGTTGCAACGTATAAACAACTAAATTTCATATTTTGAAATGTAAAATAAAATATGTTTTTTTACTATTAAAAGAAATAATTATAATATATTATATATTTTGAAAATAATATCCTATTCACTTTTAAAAAATTATAAAAATATGTAATGTTGATTCCCATAAAATTTCGAAGTTTGTAGATAGTTTATAACAAATTTTTTATTTTTCTCAAAACAAATTTTTAAAAGATCCTTATAAACTATGTCTATATTTCGATCGTAAACAATGGCAAAACTATCGCTGTTTTATTACTATGATGTTATAGTTGGACCTAGTTTCTATACGGCCAGGCCCTCATATGTAGAAATTCGGGCCTCTTAATAAATTTATTTTTGAGATGGATTTTCATATATAATTTTTAGCGACATGTGATCTCCAACATGGAGATCATGAATATGAAAAAATAAATAAATTTTACAAAATATAAATAATAATTCTAATAAGAAAATATGGATAGTTATTTTTCATTGTTAATTGCATACATCTTTAAAATGGATGCTTTATAGTTTCTGGTCCGCATAAGTAAAAATGCGGTCCAGCCCACATGAAATTTTCCCTTTAATTTTATCTTTTTTTAATCCTCAAATCTATCCTAAAACATATGAAACTTTCCAAAAAAACAACTTCTTACAAAAACTCATCAAATATTAATACCAATCCATATGAAACTTTTCCAAAAAAAAAAAACAACTTCCTACAAAAACACATCAACACTTATACCAATCCCAATAATAAAGAGGTGATTTTGGATATCACCAAATCCAGCATTATTCGCCAAACTGTGGCGTCTTAAGTCACCGCATCTCATTTGGCCAATAAATCCACGGCCTGTTTGGCCTCACGAAACATGCGACTTGATCTCCACCGGTAATCTCAGAGCCTCCAATGCGATTGTGAAATAAAATATGGTATCTCCATTGAACCATCACAAAATCCTGCATTCAACCCGTCACAAGTATAGAATCACTATCAATCTCACATAAATGAATTTCCCATAATGTAGATTTTGGAGCATCAATCTCACATAATTGAATTTCCCATAATGTAGATTTTCGAGCATCAATCAGGGTAAAAAGTTTATAAAGACCCAAGCTTTATGATAAAAAGTATAGTCGAACCTCAACAGTTATCTCCACTTATGAAATTATATATAGCCAAAAAGTAAACTTGTAGTACCGAGCTATAATTTCCAAAAGAGTAATTTGTGTACGGGCCCCGAAATTTAAGATAAAATACGAAATTTTCCATTTATATGCGGAAATTACAAAAAAAAAATCAGTCAACTCACTTCTTTACTTTTTTTCCAAAAATGCCTATTGTCAATCCAAATTTTGACTTTTTTTTTTTTAGTTTTTTCCTTTGGAGGGCAATGCCTTGAAGCAATGGGGCAATGATCTACTAATGAAAAAACTTAAAAAAATAAAAAAATCAGGATGACCAAGGGGGCAATTTTGAAAAAAATAAAAAAATTAGGTTTTATCTTCTTTGTAATTTCCGTATATAAGTAAAATATTTTGTATTTTACCTGAACTTTTAAGGTCCATACATAAATCACTCTTTTAAAACACATCCACTCCTTAATCCTAAAATGGAAGAGGAGGTAACAACGGTTAAGTGCATTAATTCGCTTCCTTTTTTGTAATTTGAATTGTAGAAGAGTACTAAACTGAAGGAAATAATCAACTGCTAAATTTTCAATGCGTCTCCCTAAGAATGGATACACCGATCCTGACTTTTACTGCCCAAACAAGTTCACTGTAAAATTCTAAACCAGATAACATACCAAAACTGGACCAAAAAATATTCCAAACATCACCAGTTAAAAACCCAACCGAGCAATGTTCAATGTGGAAATAAATCTGTATAGTTAAGCATGTCTAGATCCTCAAGCTCTGACCATGGTGGAATCCATGGCCCAAATGCTGATGCTTTTCACCATCTCTATTTTCTCATATCTTTGTTCACCCTCTTCCGGTATCAAGGTAACCCTTATCCATGGCGATGATCCCAAATCCCCGTTCTACAACCCCAAAGCTAGTGAGTATGAGCTCTTCCAGCAAGCATTTGATCGCTCCGTGGCTCGCTACAAGTACTTAAGCTCGCTTGCCACGGGAGAATACTCTCCTACGGCATTAAGAGCCTTTATGCAAAGCATTCCTGGTGAGTTCCTCATGACCGTCGGCGGCATTGGTTCTCCACAGAATACCAGTTGCTGTTTGACAGTGGGAGGCATGTGGACACAATGCCTGCCGTGTTATCAGTGCTACCCCCAGCAAGTCCCAGTCTTCAACCCCTACAAGTCATCGACAGGTCCCTTGCAAATCACCCCTCTGGAGGGTCCACTTAAAGCAATGCATCGGCACGGGATGCCATTTTACGATTCAGTGCAACGATGGATCTATGTAACCGGAAATATCATCATTGACATTTTGACTTTTGAGCCAATCAATCCAAGTACCAGCAACTATTCCCAATGTCTCTAGCACTAGAACTAATTCAAATTTCAGCGAATTAATTCAAATTTCAGCGGTAGTATTAGTACTAGTTAATGGAGTATTAGTACTAGTATTAGTATTAGTACTAGTTCTAATACTACAGATAGAGTTGAAATCAGTGTTAATGGAGCCAAAGTGCAGAGATATGCCTTCGGATGCAACCATGTATATGCAGGAGGTAGTTTTGTAAGACTCCCTGCTGGGATCATCCGTTTTGAGGAAGGGATGCTCTCGTTTGTCTGTCGACCAACTAGGTGATATCATTGGGAAGAGATTTGCCTATTGCATCATGCTGCGCGGCAACAGCATAATGGAATTCGGAAACCAGGCAGATATCCCAAAGGGTCAGGGCCTGTCGATTCCCATACACCGACTTTCGACAAATCCATCGATCGCTGGTTATCTTACGTGTCATAGACATCAGTGTGGGAACCACCCCCCTCCACATCCCACCATGGACCTTCAATCCAACTGTGGATGATAAGATCTTCGTCATAGATTCCGGCACCTCCGTCACAAGAATGAATGAGACAGTGTTTAAAATGATTGGGATGAAAATTAGTTCAAGCACCCCCGTCCCCGACCCAGCGAAGCGGTACAAGTATTGCTACCGAATAAATGAACCGGTCGACGTATGTGCCTTACCATCCATTACATTCCACTTTGACAAGGCGAATTCCACCGGAGGGATTGTATGGTTTTTCAGCAAAGAATGTGGCTTGCTTGGACATTGCGGGGTCCAAAGGAATGTCAATATGAGGAACCTTAGCACACCATAAACTGGTGGAGCACGACTACGGTATGGAGAGGCTCTCGTTTCAGCCCGCAGATTGCAGTAAAATTAAATAAGAGGTTCAGATTTGTTGTGATTGAAAAAACCCAGATCTTTGTACAAGAGTTTCACTTAATTGATTTATAAATAAGTTTTTACAGAAATAATAGTAGTGATTGATAGTGCTTCCTGTGTCTTTCTGAGCCCCTCCCCCATCCCCCATGTTTCTCTCTTTCATCACTCTCAAACTTGCTTGCTATGCTATTGCTTCAAGATCATTGCTTTCGTGACATCATTCCATCCAAGAGTAACATTAGATATTGATTCATTGCTCCGAGTAAAGAATATACAACAAGATAAAAATAATGATTCTATATGGAAAAGGTTTACACTGGGGTGAGGCCTTAAATAATCAAATTACGGTGCATATTAAAAATTAGCTCACTAGCTCATATTTACATATAAACCCAATAGCCCGGATTGAATAGGGGTTGATTTGACTGTCACGACTTCATTTTGTATTTAAATTTTATTTTTTTACATAAATCTAAATCATTTGAAATGTTAAGCATGTATTCTTCTCATCAAGACACACCTAATATACATTAGTGATTTGGGACCAATCGCTGTTGGGGTAATTAGTTTTGGGCCAGGCCCCTCTCATTTGTCGTCAGCCAACCAGTTGATAGCATCGGGAAGAAATTCAGAAAATGGTAAGTGGCCAGAGTGTAGTTGAGTTTGGAGACTGAGCAAGCATCCCAGAGGGCTTCGTCCTTTCAACCCCGATTTACTTGTACCTGTTGCAGAATCGTCTGGTGCTTTATATCCTAGATCTCATTGACATAAGCGTGGGGTCAAGCTGCCTAAATATTCGAATAAGGACCTGAGCTTTACTGGATTTCAACAATTAACTTAAATTGCTGCAAATAAAATGCTTTCAATCTTGACATGCGTGCAATTAGTGCTCATCGAATCGAATCTATTTCCACTTTTTCATTATGAGGAAGACATTTTTCTGAATATCTCTGCTGCAATTTTGTGCTACCTGTCTCTAACAGTACGACAATTTCTATAGAACTTGTTTTACACTGATCCCCATGAAACTCGATAATACAAACGTTATATTACTATAATTAGGCCTAATTTGATTTTCTCTTTGATTCAATGAAATATAATTGACTTATATTAAGTTCTCATTAAACTTTTCAGGGTTTTAATTTTTAATGCATGTTTTCTTTTTTCTATATTTTCTCCTTTTTCTGAAAAAGTGATCCTTAGAATTTCCTCGACCGTCCCTTGTTGATATAGGGTGGTTGAGGAAATCTTCAATCCGTTCACTTTGCAAAGTTTGTTTACCATAACATTACCTGGAAATATCTCCCATATGACCTCTAATTAGAAACACAGTAACTCCCATATCACCTCACATCTAGCCAAGATAATACAGCATGTTATATGAATAGCTATGCACACTCAAGCTTGACCAGATTTTCGTGGCATCCCTGAAAGCTCTTGCCCTAATACAATTCACCATCTTCATATCTTCTCCATCTTTCGCAGGGATCCGGGTAGCCCTCACCCATCACGATGAGCTCGGGTCACCATTCTACAACCCCAATGCCACTATGTATGACCTTGTAAGGCATGCTTTCGCCCGCTCGATGACTCGTTATGAGTACTTAACCTTGACTGCCACAGAAGAAGAATACTCTCCGGCAGCATTCAAAGCGACAACTACCTCCATCAGTGGAGACTTCCTTATGACAGTTGGTATCGGGGCCACAGCTGCACGCTATTAGTTACTTAACCTTGACTGCCACCGAAGAAGAATACTCTCCGGTGGCATTCAAAGCGACAACAACCTCCATCAGTGGAGACTTCCTTATGACAGTTGGCATTGGGGCCACAACTGCAAGCTATCAGTTATTTTTGGACACTGAAAGCAACCTAATGTGGACACAGTGCATGCCGCGTCATACGTGCTACCCCCAGGAAGCCCCAATCTTTGATCGTTTGAACTCTTTTACATATGCTGAGGTAGACTGTAAATTGTCCCTCTGCAAAATGCCCTTACTCTCTCTCTTCTCCTGTATTTTGGGATCACGTGACTATCTCCCTTTGACAACACTCTTTCTCCCACAATAAAAACACATTTTGCTCTGTCTTCTCAAACTCTGTCTTGCTCTACCGAAGAAACTCTCTCTATCTACTTATGTGCTTCTCTCTTTTTCTCTCTCTACCCTCTCTCTCTCTGTTCAATATTGTGATTATTCAAAATCACCCAACATAAGGAAATCGCATATTATATGGTATTAGGAATGATATTGATAAGTTTCATAAATAAAATATAAATCCAAAAAGATTAGTACTCTTGGATATATCTAGTGAAGAGATTTTGTGTGTCTTATTCAAGTCACCATATGGGAAATGTGGCTTCCTCTAGAAAAAGTGAGGCAAGGCCTCTTCATAGAGAGCTGCGAGCTTCTTAATGAAGAGAAACTCTACATTGTGCTTTCTGTAGATTGAGAGGTTAGTTTCTTATAGAGAAGCGATTCCAAGAAGATATTTGGCAGTTTCCACTTTTAGATAGATAAAGTCTTGGTTTTAAATTGAGAGGCTGGTTTCTTGTAGAGAAATAATTCCCATGAAGATATTTGGTGGTTTTCCCTTTTAGATAGAGAAAGACTTGGAGATATTTGGTGGTTTCCCCTTTTAGATAGAGAAAGTATTGATTGCTCCCAAGGTTTTCCTCCTGGAGAGTGTTTTAGTTGTGGAATGGAGATGACCGATATCCCAAAATTTGTAATCTAACTCTCATTGGTATAGTGGATTATAATGGATTTTAGTTTGTCGTACCCATAGATGTAGCCATCTTATGGTGAACAATGCTTTATTTCTCATATTATGGCTGGTGCACTCTTTTATTTTATTTCTAGTTGGATAAGTACACGATCTTGATGAGATCGAACTTTTGAGATTCTCTTTTCCGCATCTAAAAGGGTTATTAAATCCTAACACTCTGTCCAAAATCTGAGGCTCATATGAAGCAGAATGGGAGCGTAGTAAAGATTTCTCAAACTTGAGGTAGAGTTCTTTTCAAGAAGGGGTGAATGATGCAGCGCCTATCTAGCACTTAGGTGACACAATATAGTTGTTGCATGAGAGAGCCATAATTATTTGGCATCGACTGTTTCCGGGACAAGCCGATCGAGTGGTTCCTAGAAGCACCTTTCAGGCCATGGCCTACATTCGAAAAAAGTTAAAAATTGTCATGGAATAGAAGCCTCTAAATTATGGCTTTTCTTGGGCTGATTTTTTCTAATAGTAGCTGATCATAATTATCTTTAATAAAAATAACCATTTAAAATGTCTTGTCTTGTCTTGTCGTTCCCTTTTTATAGCCTAAATATTATTCATTGGGGGTTGTTTGGGTGCACTTGTTTTCGTAGATAAATCATTGTTTCAAATATAATTAATATTGGATTATATGTTATTTGGCATTGTTCCTCATAAAATTATCTGCAACACAAAAAAAAAGCAAAGCGCTAAATTTTTTTCCCACCAACATAAAACATAAGGATACATTAATTAAAAAGAAAGGTATCAAAATAAACTAAAACCTTATTGTAAACAAAAAGGAGAGGAATATGTCTAAAAAAGAACAACAAAATAAAACACAAAGTAGCATGATACTGTAACAAGAAGGCCTAACCACCACCAGTCTTTGCACCGAAATCCTTCTCCCAGAAATGTCATATAACACCCTAAAATCCTGTTGCTGATACGTCCACATCCCCAAGATAGACATACATTTTATCTGACACCAAAATGACCATGCAAAATATTCTGGCACTTCTATCAATGTAAAACACGTTTTCCGGCATCAGTTCCCAATCTGTTTCCCCGAAATGAAGCGTCAAATTAGGAAACTCATTAAATTCTGGCGACCGAATTTCCCAACAAAGGTCAAAACCATACTTTTTTCCATCAATTTGTGTCAAATTCCTGGCACTGGAAAACCAGTAAACCATACCATCTTTCAAATATGAGTAGCCCCTTTCTCTCAAATAAGAAACCGTGGCTCCTGAATCCATCACAAAACCACCTTTTTTATCAGAATCCATGTCAAACACATTAGGTGGTATCCCTAACGGGTTGCCCCCTATGCTGATATCTATTAATTTCAAATAATACAGTGAATTTCCATAGTCCAAGAGATCGAAGCATTTACAACGGGTCCTGAAAGCTCAGCTTCAGGGCCAAATCTGAGCTGGCTGGTTTGTGTTTCAGTGGTTACAAGCAAAAGCCTGAGTAAACAATATGAGAATTGATGTTATTCTGATTTGTAGTTTTGCGAGATAAAGGAAATGGGGCTATTGCTTAGGCCAAATATGCTGGAAAAACCACCAGGAAAATAGAAATTCCTGTTGCTAAAGCCACAGCCAATGGCAATTTTCGGTGAGAATTCTGGCCAGTCGCCAGAATCGGATGAGAAAGTTAAGGTTTCAGTGGCAATTTGGCCAGAGGTTGTGGCATTCTGGCCATAAGATGAGGAGAAGGTGCAAAGGTTTCTATTGTCGTCACAAAGAAGGTCATTACAGAGAGAATCAGATTAATGAACAGGAGAAAATGATTTTGAAGACTCCGGGGAAAAAATGGGCACAGATTGAGAGAAACAGGGATCACGTAGCTCACATTGTATCCATAGCATTGGGCCGCTCGTGTCTAAAATGGCAAGCTGTTGAACTGGTGGGGTTCCTAGGGAGAAATTAACCAGGTATAAGTAGCTATCACCATGGATCTCTGGTGCCATTTCTTGTGGAACATGAGATTGGGGTTTCGGCTGGAATTTTTCACTGGAAAGTTTGATAGGTAATGGAGGCGGTGGCCGGAACTTTGGACAAGTTGTCGGAGTCTTGCAGTGGTGGTGCGGTTTTGGGAGGAGAGAGAGAGGTGGTGAATGAGGGAAGAGAGAGGGAGGAGGAAAGGGAAATGAAGGTGATAAGAAGTATCATAAAACTTAGTTTTCCTGTCATTTCTCTCAGCGTGTTTGTTTCTTCCTCCTGTTGTGGGCGTTAGGATTAGGTGCTTTTAAAGGGGCGGGGCTGGTGAATTTTAAATTTAAATTACAAAGTTAATAGTTTTTGTCCTTTCTATTTCATTTTTCGGATAGCATGAGGAAAATGCCTGCATGTTCCATTCCATTTCAGAGAGAGATTTAAGTTGGTTCCAACGATTCAAACATGTCTAAAAAAAAAGGAATCTTTTTTAAGGTTCTTTTTTTTTCTTTTGGAAATTTTCCTTTTGAAGATTCTTTTTTTTTTCTTCTGCCAAACGTCATTCTGTACAATTTTATAAGCTCCATTTCTTTCTCTCAAAGAGAATTTGTTTTCACAGGAATGCGTTATCTTGTAATTTTCACCGAAAGTATTCCATGCTTTCGTGGGAGAAAATTTTATATTTGCTCCCATGAGGAAATCAATAGCTAGGAGTCTTTTATTGAAATTACTAATTTACTAGTTTTAATATAGATCACAAATTTCTATATGAATAAAACCCTACTAAATTGATCTTCTGTACAGAGTAAGTCGATGCACATTAAGAGAAGTTTACATCAATGTTTTTATGTGATTTTCATGTCTACTTGTAATTTTTGTTACGTTATTGTTTTAAGAAAATATTTGTTTTAGGAGATGGGGTTATGCTTTTTCATTTTTTGAAAGGCTTATCTTTAGATGGACCGGTTTATCTTTAGAGAAGAGGTGGTGGTTCAAAAAGGAGATCTTTTTTGTTTTTTAGGAAGGTTAAATCATTTTTTGGTACACACTTTTTTTTGGCTTGAGTTGGTTTTCGGTAAGTTTGACTTTTTAGAAGTTCTTGGAAGACATATTTGTTTTGGTAAAATTATAGATACTCCAAAATCCACTTTCTAAACATCTACTCTCCAGTACTTTTTGTATCCCACCATAAACTTCAATTAGAATACTTGTTTTTTTTTATATTTACCCCTCAAGTCCAAAAGTTAATGGATTCACGATAAAAAAATGCCCTTACTCTCTGTCTTCTCCTATATTTTGGGATCACGTGACTCTTTCCTTTGACAACATTCTCTCTCCCAAAATAAAAACATATTTTTCTTTGCCCTATCACATGTATCTCTCTACCTGCCATGTCTTTACCTCTCTGTGTTGGATATTGTGATTATCCAAACTCACCCAACATAAAAAAATCTCATATTACATGGGATTGGAATTGATATTGATACGTTTCTTAAAGGAAATACAAATCTAAACAGATTAGTACTTTGGGATATATCTTGGTTCTTGACATATATGTAACATTTATAGAAAGTTTTTTATTTTATATGGACTCCTAACCTTATATATATATGTGAAAGTGAAGTGATTTTGTGTGCTCTATTCGGGTCATCATATGGAAAAGCTGGCTTCCTCTAGAAAGAGTGAGGTAGGGGCCTCTCGTGCATGAGCTGCAATGCCTCCCCTTGGAGAGAAGAGCTCTTCTTATGAAGAGAAATTCCACATTGTACATTCTGTAGATGCAAAGCCTCCCCATAGATAGAAGAGAGCCATAAGAAATTCCAGATTGTGCCTTCTGTAGATGCAATGCCTCGAAACGAGCTTCTTATAGAGAGAAATTCCACATTGCGCCTTCTGTAGGTTCTCCTCTTGGAGAGTGGTAGTAGTTTAGTTGATGGTTTCTTCCTGGACAGTGGTTTAGCTAGGGAATAGAGATGAGAAATTGATGGGTCTAAAAATGTTTGCTCGACTGGTTTTGGTCGATTGGCTTTTGTGGTCTGTGATGTATAGTGGACATTAGTGTCGATTGGCTTTTGTGGTCTGTGATGTATAGTGGACATTAGTATAGTAGATTTCAGTTTGTTGTGCCCATGTAAGCATGTAAATCTTTGTATTTTTGTGGTGTCTATTTTTTCTGCTTTATTTCTCGTGGAATGACTCATGCTCGTACTCTCTCGCATTTTGTTTCTTTGTTTCTAGTTAGATAAATACATGATCTTGGTGAGATCCAAGATTTGAGATTCATACTCAATCTTTGTCCGATCCAACTTTTGGAATTCCTATTTTCAGGTCTAAAAAGGTTGTTAAATCCTAGCACGCCCCAAATCCTAACCCATTTCTCTCTCTCTATGTCCAAACACACTTTCCCTCTCCATTCAAAATCTCCCTTCTCTCTCAAGACGTATCCTCTCTTCCTCTCTTTTAAGTAACAAGATCACTTTAAGTATAGAAAAATGAATAGATCTAAATTGTGCAATCAGCACTGGCTTATTTACACAATTGAATTTTCCAAATCCAATGAAACCTTTTCAGATAATCATCAAACCTTAATTTACAACCTATCTCTGTAAATTTATCACTCTACAACCTATCTCTGTAAATTTATCACTCTATTCTTCAGTATGAGCCCTCTTCAATCAATCAAACTTCACAAATAGCTTCTCCTTTATTAAGCACGGGTAATTCTTAGTCATCAGCAACGTGTAATTCTTAGTCATCAGCAACTCCAAAATTAACCCCAACATCTAAACCGCGAAAGTCTCAAATATCGGCTCATCAGCGTCAGGTAACCACGCTACTTCAAATTCAACCCTAGTTTCTAATTATATTGCTTGTAATGAGGTCTAGCACACTGTGTGCTGGACTGCAATAAGTTTTTTTCAAGCTTGTAATGCGGTCCACCACAATCCTTAACCCAAATAAGGTGACAAAAATCTTATTCAATAGTCCATAGCGAGAAAAAGAATTAGGGAGATAGAAAGAGAGAGAATGGTTTGTTTTTTTAGAGAAAAATAGTGTAAGCAGAGAACCAAAATAAAAGAAAAGAGAGAGTAAGAGAGAAAAGTGAGAGTAAGGGAATCCATTGACCACTCCTACAACACGAGAGAGAAAAAGAGGGAGAGAATAGCAGCGAGAGAGAGAGAGGGATAGAGGGGAGATGGGATATTTGTTTATAAGTTGGGTTGCAGGCTGATGGGAATTGAAGAGCCCAGGAAGCTCCTGTCAAATTGCAGAGAGAGAGAGAGAGAGAGAGAGATGGCTTGAAATGGGCGGGTGGCAGGCTGAAGGGAATGTAGAGGGATGAGGACCCAAGAAGAACAGTAGTTTCTTTTGGAGCTAGGGTTTCCACTGTGAAATATAGTCGGAGCATATAGAGCACCTATCTTTTCTACCAATGATGCAGCTTTTCCCCGTCAATCTTGGACCCAAATCGGATCATAATTTCTATTTGTGCATAATTTCTACGGAGAATTAGGCGTATAGAGCACTGGATCAACTTGTACTCAGATCCAATCGTAATTTTTATCTGGATCTAATTTTTAAATTCAGATCTGAATTTTGGATCCATTCTCGAATCGAAATAGGATCCAAATCTCAAGTTTTGGATCTAATCCATGTAAATTCTCAGCCCCAGTTTTGGGATTATTTTTTTTGATGGATTTTGGTTGAATGAAAAAAATTTATTATAGAGAGAGAGAGAGCTTTCTTTGTGGGTTTTTTTTCTCTTTTATGGTGCGTGGTGGAGGACTCGAATCCCCATGTCTACTTTTTTCCTGCAAATTTTTTCTTAGTTTTTTATTTCTCTCTTAAACACAATTGTATTTGCAGTAAGTTTTAACTATGTCAGGTGGTATCAGAGCATCAGTCAATTATTGTGATAATAGACTATGGCTGGGCATTAGGATTGAGCCCTTTCAACGAGAACGAGACCTCGAAGATATAGAACTCAAAACTTTGATAGGGCAAGTAAAGGAGCTGACCTAGTACTTAGCGTAAAATCCAACCTGGACATACTATGATGACGGTAGTGAGTCGGATGTTATTTCGAGTACCCGTGCTATACGCACTCTCCATGTCGAGAGCCTCACGGCAGGGAGAGTGATCTACCTAAGTTTAATGAAGAACCAGTTGAAAGTGAAAAACAAGTAGGTTTGGATCTTGAATGGGAATTATCATTCATTGATGTCATGTGTGACCCTATTTTTTATGAATGTCCTATATTTGGTGAAAAACAAGATGAAAGGCAAAAATTGGCTTTGTGGCAGCAAGGATATCTAACTTTTTTATCAATGGAGAGAGAGACACAATATATCGACTCAAATCCAAAGGTGCTCCAGCCTTTAGAGATACTTGACGAGAAAAAGATGAAAGCTTTCAAGGAGAATCAATAGGTCAAATTGGTTCGACCATTGAATCTAGTGCTCATTTCAAAGATGCACAAGTGGTATGTCCGAGGGATGAGCCTGAGTAATTTCAGCAAGTTTCTAAACAGACTCTATTGATATAAAATGACCATTTCCTTGAGGGTTTCTTTTTATCAATGCATAATCGTTGTGTCACGACAATAACCCAAAAGTCACAGGATTGTGTTTATAATGTTATAAGTTGAATAAGGTTGTAAGGCTATTGGAAAAATGATCTTAACGAATTTCAAATTTTGAGGTTGAGATTATTCTTAATAGGGAAAATGATGCAAATTAAGAGAAGGTTAAATCGATATTATATTTTAATTTTAATTTTTTTATTTTTATTTCTACATGTAATTTTTACTAAGTTATTTTAAAATATCTATATATTTATTTTAGGGGTTAGGGTTATGTTTTTCAACTTTGGGAATGCTACTCTTTAGATGGGTAGGTTTATCTTTAGATAGTCCATTTATATTTAAGAGGTGTTGGTTTGAAAATAGTCCATTTATATTTAAGAGGTGTGGGTTTGAAAAGGAGTACCTTTTTGTAGGTGGTATCATTTTGTTTTTTAGGAAGGTTAAATGTTTTTTTTTTTTTGGTATGTACGCACTTTTTTTGTTTTGGCCTGAGTTCGTTTTAGGCAAGTTTGACTTTTAGAAACTTCGACTTCGAAGATATATATATATATATATATATATTTAGTTTTTTTTTTTTTATGAAGGAAGTTATTTTTTAATAGTAAAAACAAAAGTGGTACTTATCCCCTAAAAAAAAAAAGCACCAAGCATTGTACGTAAAAAGAAAATGGGCCTATGTAAAGTTAGGTGGTTATTTTTTATGGATTTTGGTTGAATGAAAAAAGTTTTATTGTAGAGAGAGGGAGAGAATCTTTTTTTTTTTTTTGGTAGGTTTTTCTTCTCTTTGCTCTTATAGTATGTAGTGGAGGACTTGGATCCCCATGTTTATACTTTTGTTTTGCATATTTTTTCTCAAATTTTTATTTCTCTTTAAAATACAATTGTTTTGCTAGGTTATTGGCAACCTGTTATTTTTCAATTGCATCACAAATGTACAAAATAAACAGTTTTAACAAAAGCATGTATGTGTCCTCTCCAAGATAACAAATCATCTATTTACTCTATCAGGTAAATTCCTAGCTAGGATTATTTTTAGTATTTCATAGCTAAAAAAAAGCCAGTGACAAAGTATTTTAACCTTTTTTACAAACTTTGAATAGAAGACACACCTAAACTATTGTTGAAATCAGATGGTTGAATCACAATGCTACATATGCAAAGGCTCTCCTTCCATATCACAATGTTATATAGAACATTGAATCACAATGTTCCATATAAAGTTAATTGTCATATAAAACACCCCTTTACATAATACTTCTTCCCGGCATGTTGTAGTATTATAAAAATTCAAGGCTCAATATAGAGAAGGAAATGTTGTAGTATTATAAAAATTGAAGGCTCGATATAGAGAAGGAAAGATTCACATGAAATAGCAGGCACAGATGGAAATATCAACCTAGAGATGGAAACCAAAACCAGTTACGCAGAAAAACCCACTTAGAACATCGAAACAGATACAGATTAAACCAAACGGCACTAGGTGATTCCATATTAGCCTGTTATTCAATTTTTTAAACAGCATTTATTTAAAAATAAATCTTGTGTTTTTTAGGTTTAGTAAGCTTTTTTGCACTGATTTTCTCTGCATTTTCATTCATCTCGTTCGTCAATCAATTTCTCATGATTCTTATGCTATTTTTACCTTGTTTAGCTGATTGTTCTGCCTTGTTCTATTGAGGCAAAACCCTTAAGTCAAATAGAATAAGATTTGTCTCTTAATCTAAAGAAAAAAAAATTTCAATTTTGGCTTTAACCAGTTGTGATGGCAATCGGTGAATCAATCTGGACCAATGGCAAGATCAATTACATTAAAAAGTACTAATAAGAGCAGGTCAATAATTATCTTTTCTAGTTTTTTCATGCATTTACCGGTTTATATAGAGCCGAGGCTTTAAACAATCAAAGTAAAACACACCTTCAAATAGTATCAAGAAATGTGGTTTCAATACTAGAAATCTTTTTGATAGCTTTAAAATATATTTTTATCTTTACTTATAAAATTTAATGCTTCAAAAATAGTGTAGGTCAAAGAGATTTATGACAACTTGAAAATCTTGAAAATTGACGGTCCAAAAATGCGTTACAAGATGCACTATTTCAAAAACTTGAAATCCATTTTTTTCTTATATCCATGCATCTTGAAATCTAGATGATCAATTTGAGGATATTTGGATATCAAAACAACGTCTTCTTCCGAAAGTTTTGAGATAGGCTCTAATTGATTGTTTAGAACCTCGGCTCTATATAAACTCTTTCCTTTACATATTCTGGTTCTTGCCATATGTTTTCCATCTAATTCTAGATTAACTAGTATGGTTGTCGAGTCCGATATGGGGATGGAGAAGCAGTTTTATGCTTCAGTAAATTTTAGGGATTTCGTTCCTTGTGTTCCATATTTCATTTGTGCCATTATTTTTAGATAACATAAATAAATTTAAATATGAGGAATTACTTTAAAAAAATATATATATTTTTTTTTTCTTTTGGTTCTTTCCATAGGTTTCTTTTCTGCCAACTAAAATCAGGAACTAATGCAATTCTTTAAGTGAGGAACAGGAATAAATTATGATCATCATCATCATAGCCTTTTCTTTACTATTTGGGACCAGCTACAGTGAGGAACAAATATAACCAGTTATAATGAATAATCAATCGACGTTCACTTTATACTCTTTCAGTTATGTATACATTGTAAAACTAGAAAAGTGACGCGGTATTACTACATGGTTCATAATTTGGGATATATTATATTGTATTGTTTCCCAATTTATCCATTTTACCCTATTTGAAAGTCTAATAATAGAAGCACCAAACAAAATAAAACAAAATAGGAAGACAAAATAAGACGGTTTGAAAGTCCAACTTTCTAACCAAAAACAAAATGGGAATTGAAAATAATAATAATAATAATAATAATAAAATAATATATATATATATATATATATATATATATATATATATA